TGAATGTATTGTAGTTTGAATGTTTTGATAATAACATTTTTGGGCGATTATATTTCGAATTGTTATTATTGATTTACCGATGAATTTTCATTGATAATTGCGAATTTTTCGAGAACTGTTAGAGAAAGTAATTAATAGGAAATCCTTCATAACATTTGTTAATGTTGAACAACAAAAATAACCAAAATTTTAAAATAGATGATCTTGTGAAATTTTTTGTTCTTAAAATGTATAATAAATATATAATAAAATGTAGGTACAAAAACTAAGAGGGATAATCCTTCTAACTTGCTACTTGGAATTCTATTATTGAAAATATTAGGTAAAGTGCTATTTTAAATCACTATTTTAGTGCCATCTCAATGACTATTGAGTAAAAGTTCTGAATTTTTGAATTTATTGTTTTGTAACGATTTCAGAAAATTTAACTTGAAACCTTTGTTTTGTCAATTTAATATTTTCACACTGTGCAGTTTCTTAGTTAATTCTTAATTTTCTGCATTTAGATTTTTATGATTTTTTATTACCTAATTTTCTTGAACATTTTGTCTAAAATTGAATATTTTACATAAAAATACAGAGATATACATATATATTTTATCCATTTCAAACCAATCTGAAAATTGTTCGTTTCAATTTTGAAAATGTCTTAATTAAGCGAACACGGTTTATTATATATTTCAAAAAATAATAAGTTAAATTCTTGTTTAGTTATTATTTGAAACAGAATAGTTATGTTATGATTTAACAACCGGATTACTCATCTAACAACGTCAGAACAACTCTAACTAACGGCCAATGAGAGCCGGATTGATAAAATGGATTAGGCAAAATGTGTGTACTTCTCCCTTCCGTAGACACCCTCACGCTTGCTCTGTGTACGTTTGGAATAACCATAGCAACGGGGGGCTGGCTAGCTGTCAAGTTGATTGCTTTTGTCGCGGCAATCTGCGTTTAGAAAATTGAATACCTGCCTACTCGATAATTTGGCTTTTATATGCGTTCGAATTAGAATGATTTGTGCAGTTTGTTCAAGGAAGACAAATTAAAGCCTTCTTGGATATTTCCCTAATGCTCGTAAATATTGTCAGTTCTTCACTGGAATAAGTGAGGATAGTTATTAAGCCATTAAGAAAACCTGGAAGCTGTATCGATACAGCTAATTTATTTTTCAGTTTATTACCAATAATAGACGTTTATAATTGAAAACATATAATTATTTCTCGTTGGTGTATCATTTTTCATTGATACTCATCAAAAACTATGAAAAATGTTGATATACAATCTAAGTCATCCAATACTATAATGTATTTCTTGTAGAATAATTCATTCATTAGGTATTGAATATCAACAAAAAGTAACAAGATATTTAATGAAACGATTTGTATTTACTTAATGAAAAAAACCCGATAAAATAAGAATCTATCACATAATTAGGTACAATCGAAACAGATGACAACCAATATTAAAAGGATTTACATCCATTACTGAGCAAAATATGACTATGCAACTGACGAAACCATTAAGTGAAAATTAACTTGTTTCAGTAATAAAAATGCTATAAGAATCAGAAAATTCTCATTTTAAAAACGAAAAGTTTAGTAGCTAATTTTGAAATTTTTCCTCGCAAAAGCATTCAACTGCAAGAAATTATTCTCAAGTTGCTGCTGTGTCTTGATCTGATTAAAAATAATTGTCAGCATTACGTCACTTCAAATCAATTATTTTTCTTAAATATTATCTCAATATCAACACAACCGATCGATATCAATAAGTACGATGGCAATATAGTAATTATTTGGCAGTTATTTTGCATGCAATATAATCCTCATTCACAGAGAATGCAGAAAAATCATTTTCAAATATATTTGCACGACTGAAAGCCCCCTGGAAATGATTACAACATGAAATATATGTTCAAATGGTTGTATTTATTTGAGAAAAGGGTTTTAGAGCTTTTTCGTAACCCAATGTCATAGTGACGTAAATATTTTTAGTGCTTTAGTAATCGCATTTTTGGGTTTCAATAATCCTGCATCCTAGTATAATATCATGATTTTTCCCAAGTTTCGCGGAAATTTTTTCGCACGATGTTGAAATAATTGAAGGGGAACTAATGGCCAACTTTATTTCTTGAGCTTTTTTTTACTTAATCTGAAGATTTTGGTTCATGTTTACAAAATTCACATTCTATCATCCAAAATTATTTCAATATGCACAGAAAAACGAATATTTTTGAAACATAGAACAGTCTCTCTGCAGATGTAATTGACTCAGTGACTGTTAACCAGTAAAAAAACTTAAAAGACATTCGCAATTTCAGTTCAGCATAGTTTCTAATATTTATTATTATTTTTATAATTCAGTTGTCAATTTTGTTAATTCTTACATTATTATTATTTTGATTGAGACCTGCGGTTATTGTATAGCCTAGTCTTCTAGTTTTAAGGATTCTCTTGATAATTTTAGGGGTTTCCATCTGTGCTTAAACATTTCCAATAAATAAATAATAATAATATGAAATGACTTTGTCACTTTCTGATGAAAACAAAGGCCCATTCAAAACTTTCATAAATACTACTCATATCTCAAATACAAGATGACAAGTGCGATGAGAGTTCGACTTCAGCGCACATCTTGTATAATCAGAAAGAAACACACAGATTCTCTTTATTATGTCTAATGTCCACAATGGGACAAAGGAAGTGTGACATTCATGGCATCAGATAATTTGGATTATTTGTTTTGAAATATGAATCACTCACAGTGTCAGGTTACGAAAACGAGATAAATTGTTTATTTGCAAGAGAAATAACATCCGAGATGAAGAGTTTTACGTGTCATATTTATTATTATAACTGTTACTCTCGCTGCTATTACGATAAATTGAGATTGTTGTAATTGAGTTTTTGTAATCACCTGCAAAAAACTTCTACTATATTTCTAACAGATCATTATTGTTCAGATAGTAGAGATGCTTCTATGAAAAGGTTACTCATACATATTTTATAAAATTTCATTCTTTAATTTGTTAATTTAATTCCATTAAATTGCAAGTATGTTTTTGAAAATATTTATATTATAATATGAAATTATATACAAATATTAAGTAGATTTTGCAAATTGCAAACTCTAAAATTCGAATAGTTATATCTGGTTGAGGTTTCGCTACAAATTGTAAACTAGTCAATATGGATTTATTGATAAGTATATTCTTAATTTTAATAATATAAAATAATAATTTAATAAAATATTTGAAATAAATAATAAAATTTGTGATTACATTTCAGTGAATTAAAACTAAATTGAAATGAATAATAACATTTCAATTTAATATTTGTTATTCATAAAGAATATAAATTTTTATTTAAAATATAGACAGACAAGCAGACTATCAGTGTTTGAGGCAAATATTACAGCAGAAATTCTCTAGTAAAACGTGAAACTGTAATAATTGTTATATTATTAAGATTTGATGAGATAACATAAAGGAATAACTAAACTGATGTGCCTAATAAACTGATGGATAAATAGAAATCCTATCTGAAATTATCAGGTAGGATTTTTTCACATCCATAGTTAATACGACATACCTAAAAAGGAATATGGTTTCACCTATATTTACATTAAGTTATGTCTAAAGTCTCTAATAATATTGGGATTTCAATGTACCTGCATTTAACTATATAGGTAGGTACTATTATTCGAAAATGTAAATTGATAGCAAAAAACTGTGTAGAATATTTTACACAAAAATTTGGATAACTTTACTAATAGTTTCGTTTTTATAGAATCTTTTAATTTCAATCTTGAATCAATTGCTTTCCTAGTTAAGAACATACAATTGCATATTGACCCATTTCAAACAGAATTATCTTCTCCTTTTCACACAAAAGAAACGTAGAGGTTGTTTTCAGTTCGTTATAAACTGTTGTTTTTAATAAACCTATTTATACATATAAGTAAGTATTCAGCGTACCTAATTCGATTATGATTCGATTCATGATTTTGGCAAGCCAGAAGGAATATTAACCTAATATTCGTAAGTTAATTAGTGAAAGCAAGTAATTATGAGTTGTATTTTGTTATGGTAACATTTTTTTATCAGAATGAAGAATTATTTTCTTTCCAATTCTTTCAATTTACTTTATGCTTAATAGTAATTTTTGTATAGGTAAGCTTACATGACGTAAGGAAGTTCACCCTTATATTTCAAAAGACTCATAGGGTGGTATTTCCAATTAGTAACATCAAAAAATGCGGCGAGTAAGCGAACTCTGACTTATAAATCGATCAATTTCGATGTGAAAATTGTGAAAACTTTATCAGACATTTATCGTTAGAATTGAAAACCAAGGAAGTTATAGTGAATATTGATTAGATCTCCGTGTAGATAAGACTTACGTCTTCAGCGGTCGTGCGAACGATGTAATCTAAGGATGACTTTGGTTTTCCTTAATTATCTGAAAAATCCCAGGCCCACGTATCTGTCGTTTCTAATGTTGAAACCAGAGGAAAATGAGATGGATGGTCTCCTTATCTCTTGGAACTTCCTGATGTATACGCAGTTTCTCCTGTTTGTTGGCCGGATTTTTATGTGATATTTTAACCTCAACTTCCTTTTCGGGAATTCATCTCCTTCAATTTCCCATAATACAAATGTACCTATATCTTGCGAATTCACTTTAAAAAACAGCTAGTTTAGATTATAACCATCAAATGTTATACTCTGTTCACTTTCAAGATAGCGCCACTACAGAAAATTAATGTATGCATAGTTCACTTAATTCGTAAATTACCCAGGGTCGAACTAAGCCATAATATTCTCCTGTTATTTGAAGGGAGATATATAATTTTCTGATAATTTGAAAACATATAATGTTAAGTCAAACAGGAGTTGATACTTATTGGTGCCACTCAACCTGACCTACGAAAACGGGAATATTCCAAGTTGAAGAAATCAACAAAATCACACAAAGGTGCATACAATATCTCTATAAGCTCTTCTCCGTAGCTTAGTCGGTAGAACACCCGACTATTGTGCGGTAGAACTCGGGTTCGAGTCCCGCTGAAGGCATGGGTGTTCGTGTTTGTCCATGATTTGATAAATTTAAATAATGATTTATGCTGGGTAATGTACGTTGATTACAAGCCATTTGGCCGTTCGGAACCGGCGTTAAACTGTAGGTCCACTGAATAAAAAAAAATATACATCTGTATAAATTCAACAAGAAACACATCTACCTCTAACAGGTGTTAATAATATCGTAGTGACCACGTGCGTATATTTCTTGCAACTGGTTCACTTTTGAAAAGTAGAAGAAGACTCATTAAGACAGCCGATAGGTTTAGTTTAAAAATTAAAAGAAAAGACGAGTACTCATCAAATCAGATGATCATTTTCGTTAGAAAGTGACCTTCGAGAAAATTTGAAATTGTTTAATTCCTTTTACATCCTGTCATTTGCAGTCAATTAACATTATTTAAATAGCTCACATTCGGGTTAAATAAAATCGTATAATGTCACGTGGCAACGTTGAGACTCGTAAATATTTTCCCCAAAAATAAACTATCCTTGAGAGGACGTTCGAACAGCAGTGTAATAAGTATACATCTTTTTTCATCAGTTTACAAACAAATATAAATAGTTGCTAAATTATTCAGAATCATTGTTTTTGTTGGTTATAATAAATAAGTTGTTATAAACATAATTTCACTTGTGCAAATTACCTGAGAGATTTCAAGGAGAGATGGTAAAACAATTTCCACATGAACTTGAGAATGAAAATCTTCTTGAAAGTTTCTTGAAGCACTTGTACATTAATATAATAGATGAAGTAAACTGTTTATGAGAAAACGTAGATATCTAACTAGTACTTTTGTTAGTGAAAGTCATGAAAATACTCAAAATTCTTCATCATAGTTCATAGCCGAAATACTGCAGATAACCAAAATTCATTTAAAACTCATTAGGATGATGGATATTAAATATATACCTCCGACAAGTGCAACATCCTGCAAGTTGCAATTCAGCAACAATCTCTCATATTGCGCCAGAAATCAATGATTTCAAATTGAATCTATCGCGGCAAGGCTAATATATTCATGGATGTATAAAATATTTGAATATATTATTTAATGTACTCTAAAAAATAAAGATTATTATATCCCATTGCTTCAAAATGGGACATTACAAAGTACAAAAATGTCACTTCTAGTTAATACCTACTTACTTAAACAGTAGATGCAATAAATGGTTAAATAGGTCTAAGAAATATGAATGATAGGAAACTAAGTCCATATTTTCCTTTATCCATATATACCTTACAAGTTCGGAAGATTTTCAGAAGCAGTTGTGATAACTCTGTTGAAAAAGATAATATTTTCATGAACTTTTTTTTCATATTTTCACTTTCCTATATATCGTTAAGTACCTATTGTTTATAATTTAATAATAATAAATACAAATTTTTGCACAACAAATCAATATGAATATCAACCGAATAAATAATAAATATTAAGATAAACTGGGAACTTTGACTAGATTGTATGTAATAGTTTAAATTTTAACATCTCTTTTTATTTTGTTACTTCATCAGACATAAAAGTTCTGAATTGTCACACTATAAATTTGCATGAAGAGGTATGCAAATAATTAAATAATAAGTAACATATAAGGAAATATATTATAAAACTTTATTATAAAATAAGAAATACTACCCAAAACTGGCAGTAATTTTGTTAACTTTTTGAGAAATAAATAAATATTCCTATATAATCATATCTGAATAAGTAAAAGAAGTAACATTCTAAGATGTTTTGTTCAAATTGTGAAAAAAAATTATCAAAATTTTGCTAAAACATAATATATAAAAAGTATAACTGACCTGGTATTAAGGTTATAATCCATCACTTTCGTAAACATCACAAGATTACGGTCACAAGTCACAAACTAAATATTGAAGATATTTGAAAAACAATCACAGAATCATTTGACCACTGAGGGTGAACGTTCGATGACAGCATTAGAGAACAGCGTTTGAAGATCTGATGTCTACGGACCACTCTCTGGTTACGTTTCGTTCTAAAGTGAATTAAAAAGTAAAAAGATCAACATCAACTCGTTCGTCTGTACAAGCCGTCACACTGCTGGATTTCTATTGGCTCTTGCCGGAGAGTAGGGGATGCAGGTGAGATAGGTAAGCAGAGAGAGAGGAAGATACGCTCTCGACGCGTTAGGAAGGAGTGTATCCTACTACGCTAGTTTTTTGAGCATGTATTCTTTCCTCTTCTGAGGATTCGAATCAGTCAGATTGAGTAGTTGGAATGTAAGTATGTATATTCGGTAGAGGCGCGCCTTCGCTCTGCGTATAAATACGAATGCTTAAGGTAGTCATTATCGATGAATATCTTAAGGTATATAGTTTGTTCTATAGCTATTTGCAAATCGGTTGCTCATGAGTTAATTTAATCGGGAAATATTACGTGCAAATCAATAGCTGATATATGCAACGAATACATTTTTTAATGGAATTTATGAACTCTATTATTCTTAGAATCAGACTTTGAAATTTTTGTAAGAGCGTCTGTATTTTGACGATTTGTGAATCAAGAACAATAGAATCATTTTGAGCTTACAAGACTCATCAATTGATTCTGGTTGTGACGTGCTTCGAAAGGCATTCACAAAATATTTCTGATGTTAAAATCGAGTTATCTTCTAAGACGAATAAAGTGAAAGGAAGTCTAATTTTGTTATAAATAATAATAATTAATAATAATGTTATTCAATCATCATCATATACAGAATCAGTTACATTAAACAAAAAAATGAAATGAGACAAGATAGAAAAAATATAAATCAGAGAGAACTCAATTTTGAATGTATACTGAAAAAGATCAATGAAAAAGTACAAAATATAATTTCAAACTCAAATATATCAATTGATACAGTTAAATACTCTGTCGCTCACGTAAGATCATGGAACTTGAGTATGAAAATGTATTTTACATGCCGATATTATGAGCATTTATAAATTAACTTGATATTGATGTTCTTTGAATTATGGAATAAGTACCTATACAGAAAATGTGGTTCAATGGTTCTGTGATGGGATTACCAAATATTACAAATATTTGTTATCGAATACAAAATCAGACATTAATGCTACTTGATCAGAATGCAAGAGTGATGAGAAAGCAAGTATACCTATCAGAAATTAATTCATCAATATTTTTAATTGAATTTTTCTGATAGTTAACATAATAAAAACCTATTTCTGCATTAATTGTTGAAGATAAATCGAATTGAGTGAATTACATTAATTCAACGTTTGATATTACCCAATCTTTTTCTTAAATATGAAAAGGAATATTCTAATTTGTTATATTAAAAGTATTTATAAATTAACTTGATATTGATATTCTTTGAATTAGGGAATAAGTACCTATATAGAAAATGTGGTTCAATGGTTATGTGATGGGGTTACCAAATATTACAAATATTTGATATCGAATACAAAATCAGACATTAATACTACTTGATCAGAATGCAAGAGTGATGAGAAAGCAAGTATGCCTATCAGAAATTAATGCACCATTATTTTTGATTGAATTTTTCTGATAGTTAACATAATAAAAACCTATTTCTGCATTGATTGTTGAAGATAAATCGAATTGAGTGAATTACATTCATTCAACGTTTGATATTACCCAATTTTTCTCTTGAATATGAAATGGAATATTCTCAGTTGTTATATTCGTAATAAAATGCATTTGTTTATTGTGTGTTAAATACAGATTATTCAAATGATTAATTGATATATAAACTTGATCATTTCCAGTACAGATATATATTCACTCAAAAATAACAACGTAATTTGGAATAAATATAACCTATGAAAGAGCATGATAACTCTAATACAAAAGATTGAATTCCGAACCAATTCAAAATATTTAACTATACCATCCTCTCAAATTTCACAGAACATTGTGTATATTTTGAAAGAACCTAGAAAGAACTTGGATAGAGAATTGGCTATATGAAACTTAAACAATGTGCTGTCTTCATTATCCTTTATGGGATAAATGTTAGAGCATATTGAAATCGGCGTCCACATTTATTGGAAACGTAAGACAGTATACTGTTTACGTTTAGAGCTGCAGCATTTATCCAATAATAATAAAGTATTTATTTAGCAGAATTGCTACATCATAATACAAAATATAGTAATAACAAGTTAATTAAAAATTAAAATAATGAAAAGTAAAATACTGTGAATTAAGTAAAGTACCAATATATGTAAATAACATAATATAGTAGAAAAACAAAAACGTTATACTTAACACCTAATATTACATGATAAACATTAATTAGAGTACAGGCAGAAACAAAGCCCAATTGAAATACAGTGACTTTAAACAGTATTGCATTTGGTTGAGATGAACGTTCTCGTAAGTCTTTTAAATACTTTTAAACTTTCACAGTTTTTTATATCTGCAGGAAGTCCATGAAGGAATCCCTTGAAGGATTAATGGAGAGATCACATTGTAAATATTTCACAAAACCAGCTCTACTATAATCCTCTTACCAATAATTCGACAAAAAATTAACGAAAGAAAGTTATGGTATACTTTTAATATTTGATAGTGTTGGCGTTTACTTGATTTAAATCCATTATAATTGAATATAAACTTAAACTCAAACATTGAACTCATGATTTACACTTTATTGACAACATAACATTCATGCATAATGCTAATTAGTCAATAAAGTGTAAATCATAAGTTCAAGTGTTTGAATTTAAGTTTATATTCAATCAAACTTGTGTTAGCAACACTTATACTTATACTTTTAATATTGAATATTTACAAGTGCGGTGATGAAGTCGGTTTCTTCATGTTTCAAGTAGGTAACCACTTCAGAAAACTTTGATAAATGATCAGCGAGCGTTTATACGGCTATAGGTAGAAGATTCTTCGAGGTTTTCTGAAATTTTGAGGTTTGGTGTGTCTATAATCTGAGATATGTTTTCTACTGATTCCTATAGATGGAATTGTGGAGTATTCATTACTTTA